GTACAGAGGCTGATGGATCTCTAAAGACCGACAGATCCCGCTTGGCCCAAAGCCAGTTGACAAGCACACACACATTTCCATACGAGCAGCACCCTACACAGCATGGGAACTTCTAGGGCCGCTGGTCTGGATGAATGGAAGTGGAGGCGCAGGGCAGATTGTACACTATTAGTGTCAAACACAGGATTTAAAATGTTGTCTGCCGCCAGTTAACGGAGAAACAAACAGTGGAATCATTTAGTTAGAACTGAAAAACAGTGAAGTGGTTTTTGCAAATTTGATACCTCAAACTGCCCGTGATGCAGAAAAACACTTTTCACCCATTCGTGAAAATTTAGATAAAGGTGGAAACCAACCAGTACTCAAGACATTCAGAAGGAATCAAAGGGACAAATCTGCTTTTCACAGTAACTAACGAGGGCTTGTCTGATTTTTAGAAAAACCTTGCTACATGAAAATCTGCACTGTTTTCAGATGTGGACATTTATTTATTAAAATAAAGGATGACGTGCAGGTGAAAGAAGCTAAAGTTTACATTGAACCTGCTCCTCCTCCTGACAGGAGACAGACCACCATCAAGATGCCTCTGCCAACATGGAGGGGGTGGGGTTTATGTCCTATACTACAACCAGCCACCAGGGAGCATGGCTTCACTTCCTGGAGCTGTCACGTCTCCATCGTTACATACAGTCTACGGGAGCAATGTCAGTAGCACAACCATTGTTACGTTTACTTCACCACGACTGCTAGAGTCAAGGTTCATCCATCTTAAAATGTGTTGTTTTTTTTTTGTTTTTTTTACAATGAGAGCTACAGGGTGCGAGTTCAAAGTGACAGCATTGTGGTTCGTCTCAAACTGAAGACAGCAATGGTGAGATAAGTCTGTCTTCAGGTTTCAGCTGCAGCTCCTGACAGAAACCAGCTGAGCGCTCATCTACATTCAGAACATCAGCCTCAGGGTTGTTGAAGACCAACCTAGAGTCTCAGCGTCTACCTTTGAAGAAAAGAACAGGGCTGTTCAGCCTCCTTCACACCCGCTCCTGGCTTCTTTTTGACACTGGTGTCATCACCCCACCAATGTGAAACAACACTGAGGCCTACAAAGGGGACTGTATATTAATCTGATCCCTGTATTAAGGCCAGTAGAGCCACCTGGTCAGTCATAGCAAACACAGTGGAGACTCGGGTCTAAATGAATTTACTTAGGAAAACCTGAGGTCATGGGGGTTAAGTAAGAGGTGGCAAGCGAGCAGTGGCGTTTAGCACATCTGATTTAATACGCATCAGAGGGGAGGAGAGGGGACGTAGAGAAAAAACTCAGCGGATATTAAAGGTCAAAGGGCCATCCAACATGTTTTCTGAGACACACGAATCACAGCTGAGATCGAGGCAACGCAGAAACAAGGCCTGTTTTTAACCTAGACCATTTAGGATGGTTGCACATTCAAGCTTTTTAATGGTGTTTTGCAAATACACATCATTTGGAAAACCGACACAATAAATCAGACTGTTACACTTCCATTCATCTTCTTTCTCAAAATGAACTACTTTTGTTTTACTCCATTTTATTTTTCCTCATTGTTACTGTATTCATCTCTAATTTTGGATACTAATTAAATCTTCATGACTGATGCTGTATTCTGCACATGTGAGGTGCTGATCTTGCTCGAGGACACAATGACAGGTCAACTGTTAGAGCAAAAGCCCCACGATGTTAAAAAGAACAAGTGCCTTTTTCCTATTTCCATGGGTAACTGACCAAAGCAGTCGTGGTTTAGAACAGTAAGGTCTTTTCTTCTTTATGTTTCCCACATTCTTAGGCTTTTCTTTGCTGCAGTAACATGAACTTTCCCTGTTTTCATGAAAGTAAATTAATATTCCTTGGGGCTTGGGCCAGGTTTTGCCTCATTTTGTCCTGTAAATCCATCAAATTTTGGTGTCGATCCCCCAGAATCAAAGCGTGATTCCTTCTAAAGTTTGCTCAACAATAAAGCAGACAGACAACCATCAGAGGACAGAGACCAGTGTCTACACCTGCAACAGCTGGTTGTAGCTGGGTCCTGTAGGAAACCACACTTTGTCACAATACAACTCCAGAAACCACAGACTAAAGTCAGTAACATGTTCATCTTCGCTCACAAGACAACAGCCTGCTGTTGGCCTGAAGCTGTGAACTCTGTCTCCATGCACTCTGACATAGGGGTCGAAAACCCTAACAAGGCTGATTTGCCGGTTTTTCCCACACTGGGGATTGATGCAAATACAGCTCTCCAGCAGCTCTGTCAAAGTCATCAGTATCAAATGGCGAGATGGGGAAAAGATTTCTCACGCAACGGTCTTAAAAGATACTCAGTATTATTATTGCTCCACGATTATTTCCAGGTGGTGGTGGAACAAGTGATACCATCATTTTTAACAGTTATAACTTATGTCTTTTATTTTCATTTAATTTTAGGCACTTTATTGTTGTGAACCTGAGCTGGCCGGCTGCACTGATACGGTCTATGACCAGGCCGCAGATGGTCATTTGTTACTTTCATCAGTGTGAAAGGATCATGGGATTATTATTTAACCAAAACTTTACAGGTCAGTGCTTGTGTCTAGGCATTACACCTGTATAAATATGTCTTTAAATCCTTTTTAAATACACATTTCAAATTTACTCAAGAATTTGTACTGGGCCAAGCCAGAGCTTTCTCTCTAGTTAACTGAAGAATCAACAAAAAAACTCCTGCAGTTGGAGGTAATCCAGATTTCAAAACCTCTACAACAAGGGGATATTGATATGTTGGTTATCCATTGATGACACACACATGACTGATGACAAACTTCTGTTATTAACAAAACTTCTTCGATCTCACTGTTGGTCATTTCTCATTTCAATTGCTAATCTAAAATTTGTAAACACCTATGAGTCCATTTTGTTTGTATTCATCAGACAGCCATCCATACGGATAAGACCTAAGTTTATTGTGGTTGCATTAAATGTTCTTGACAGAAAATTGATAAGGTTGTAACGTCAGAGCCTCACAGCACCAGCAGGTGGAACTAATGCACCTTTTTGCTGCTTCCAACCAGCAATTAATAAAATACATCCTAGGCTTTTCTGTAGCATGTTCTTTGAAAACAGGAGGCAAGAGTGAAATAAATGTTATATGAGGCAGGAAAACATTTTCAGTATTATGAAATTTGCTATAATCACTTTTTAGCAAGAAGAAAAAAACTGTATTTTACTTGTAATACTGGTCTTTTTGAGGTACCGAAACTGGGAAAGAGGGTACTGGCTGGTTGGTAATCTTTACAGAATAACTCACAAGAATAAAATAAAAGTAATGTTGTCAGACAGTCCTTGTCAGTCAAGGTAAAACAGAAGTGTGCAAATCACCATAATCATTAAAATCAACTATCTTCACCTTTTAAAATTAGGATCACGCACCTCATATATTAAAGCTGTATGTGACCCCTGCTGCTGTTTACACTATAGTGCAATAGCAATATAACAGCAAGCAATGCCTCAGACAAGAGATATTTCCAGTACAAACAAGAACATTCCAATCACACGAGCCTCAGTGGTGTAAAGTCTCTGATAAACCATCAATAAACTGGTTGTCTTCATATGATGAGCCATGACTGCCAGTTACCAAGTGAGAAAAACACGTTTTCCTGAAGTCACTTACAAATGGAGACACTGGGATACGTCTGCTTACTGAGCACAACTTCTCTTTTTAAATTCTTTGTGGTTTATTTAGCGCAAACTAAATAAAGACTTGAACTACAAATTGAGATGTAGGTGTAGTGTACAGACGCTGCCACTAGATGTCAGTGTTTCATCACAAATCAGCGCCCGTTCACCTGAGCAGAGCTCGGCCTGATCCATCAGCGGACATTTTAACTGCTTAACGATGTAGTAGTATAGGTTTACTAATATTATTTTTAGTTAAAGTGATTGGTACACATATTTAGCATAGGTCACGACATACATTCATAAGGAAAATAGCAAAATCAAGCTAATCTTTTTATACACAGCGGTGCTTTGTTACATTTGTAGTCCCTTGTAGTATTGACTGAAATCCGTATTTCATCCCTGTAAGTACTCGGAGTGAATTATATGCATTAAAAATGATGGTGACCTTACTGTACTTTAGCACCTCTTATTCTCCCGTGCTATTCCTAAATGTCCAGTTAATTAACCGCAGGTTCTTAAAAATATCTGGTAGCATATCATAATTGTACTTGTTTTAACTCTGTTTTTAAACTGCTAGTTATGTAACATTTTCTTTTCATGCCCCCAAACCATCTTAAATTTATATTCACGAAACGGTGAACAATTCTCAGATTTAATTCAGCTAATATAATAAATGAGGACATTTATAATTAGCACAAAGATCAGGACAAAAATTATGTTTGGTCCCAGAACTATAGCTGGACGAAGGCCCATTAAATTTTAGGAAACAGGACAAATAAGCCTGGACTAATTACACAACGTAAAGGAAAAGACCAAAACAGATCATTTATGCTTTTGATTAATTCAACATTAATTTATAAATAATGGCCGAATGACAGCAGTTCTTTCTTTTTCAGACAGTAAAAGCAGCTAAAATCATTAAGAGATGCAGAAACATTTGGCAGGGAAATAAAGTAAGGGAAATAGTTCCAATAACCGATAATTAATGAGACAGGCACGTCCATTTCCAGATAGCTTCTTTTTGAAACTCTATCGATATTTTATAAGAGGGACTTGCAGCCACACTGACGCTGAACCTTAAAATCAATGATCCATATAGGTTATTGGTCATCTATATATAACTTAAGACTGTCTTTGCTTTATCGGACAGATTACATCAGCGGTGATGATGAGAAAGGTTTGTCCGTCCCGTATGAAACCGGAGGGAGCGTGGGGGGTGGGGTGAGAGAAGGAGGGAAAGAAGTAAAGTGAAGAGAGGGCTGGGCGCATCCTGAGGTGTCCAAAGCTCCGCAGCATCCCCGCGAAACACCCAGCGGCGAAAAAGTTGCGTTTCCTCACTTCTTCAAGTGTTTCCACCGGTTGTTGTGCGTTTTTAAAACTTTCCGCAGCCGGATGGATCCGTGACGCGGACAAACCCGGAGAAGTGAACTTTTTCCTTCTTGCTCCGAGTCCCTGCTGAGGGCACAGGCACATTTTGGGAATACTTTTCCAAAACGCGCGCTCCGCTCCGTGCGTCGTCCAGTAGATGGGATTTGATGCGTTTGCGGGGGATTTCTGCTCGGTGGTGTGTTTCTGACTTGACCGAGAGCGAGGAAGGAGAAGGACGCTGAGCAGAGGAGAGTAGAGGAGAACAGAGGAGAACAGAGGAGAACAGAGGTGTCCGGACTGAACAGCCCGGGACGAGAAGAGCGGACACTTGGGTGAGTGAGGGTCGGCGCTGGCCATGTGCTCCGCGCACACCGCGCCGCTGACATGTCTGCAACTCTTTATAAAGGAGCGAATATTAGCTGAGAGAAATATATCGCATCTTTACATTTTCTCAGAGATCTTGTAATTCATAATTAGTCCATCACAGTACTGGTGTACTTTATAGTGTTGTTCTAACATCATGAGCAAAAAGACTTATCCACTTCAATGCCTGGCTCAGTAGTAATGCTTTCTTTAAATCTTTTCAAATATCTCTAAAGTGGTCCTCAAAACGTCGCCACAGTTTTCCTCCTTTCCTATTCTCACTTTATGAAATGATTAGTTATTTCACTGAGCCTGGAATTCCAGGAATTTGCAACCTGATATTTAAAATACTCTCTACTTCTCTTTGCTCCCAATTTCCCCCCAGAATTAATCTTTTCTTTAAAATTATTATCATTATTTAAAAGAATTTAAAACGGTCTGGCGGGCAGTGTATCTTCTTGTATCATTAAAATTAACTATAATAGAGAATGTATGGGATTTTTGCAGAAGAAGTCCGGTTTTATCAGGCACAGCTTGGATCAAGTTCACCTCAAAAAGTATTTAAAATCTTATTATAGCACAAAGATCAGAGCCTTTAGTTGATGGTTTGCAGGAAAGGCCACACAGATTTAGGTCCATCTCTCCGGCACATTAAAGCTAAATCATCCCAGTAACGATCAGTATGTTTTAATAATCCAAGAACACAACTAAATAAAACAACAAAATGATGCCTGTGTAAAAATAAAATACACCTGTCCCCTTTCCATCTCCCTCTGAGTAGTTTTTTAATGCTGAATGGCCATGGTTGCCTTCATTTGCATCAGATAAAACGTTTGAGCATTTGCTATTGTGCAGGATGAAGAGTTCCAGCAGTCAGTGGGCAGAGGGAGTGAAAAGATGTGAAGAAATAATGGGGCCCTTCACATTATTCACCATGACATGGGGGCTTCCCAGGCCTGTGTTGGGGATGTCACTTTCATCCTGCCCTGAGCGCCTTTACTCACTGTCATTTTCACACATTTCCATCCCCTCGTCATTAATGATGGCTGCTCTGATTCTCTGGCAAGCCCGTGGAGAGTTTAATGACTGCCAAGCGGATTCAGTGAAATGATTCACTGCAAAAAGGAGAGGGAGAGAAAGGAGGCTGGCATGCAGGCGGTTGGAGGGCGCGATAAATGTGAATTGGAAGTGAGTAAAACGCCCCACTGTGAGGACTCAAAAGTCTCTTATCCCACAAAACAACAAGTCCACACCAATTACGCCATGTGGCCCCGGGGCAGTTGTTCCTTGTGGGTTTTGTGGAGAAAAGAGGTATCAGCGGCTTTACACAAGCAGGGGAGTAAATCCACTGAACTCAGAGGGACGGGGCTCCATGCATCTTTACATTTACCATCAACGGTACAAATGAAACTTGTAGGAACAAGCAGAGTGACGACAGGCTGAGAGGTCCTCACCAGCTATTAGATGGATGGATTATAAAGGTTCAAATGAGTTGTGACTGTTATTATATCAGATTCAAAATGCCCATCTCAATTTCCCTGAGCCCAAGTTGGCACGCTCTATTTTTAATCCACCAAAAAATCCACAAAGTATTCAGCTTACTATCATGTAGAACTGAGAAAAGCAGGAAATATTCTTCTGTTCAAGGTCAGAACCAGTGAGGTTTTGGCAGTTTTTCTAAATGAGTCATTTAAAATGCTACTGATTAGTTTCCTGTCAATTATCCGATCAGAAAATAAATTGCAGATCAATCAACTTTAGTCACACATCTAGAGGAGGTAAAATTTACTGCAGCTTGTTAGATTTAAAAAATCTTTTAAAGCAGAAAGACAATATTATCTTTTCAGATTCCCACAAGTTGTATTGGTTTTCTGCTAATTCGGCACTTTATCGATCTTCATTTGTTGGCCAGGTGATTTACTGATTAGTAAAGGGGCAGTTTTAATAATTCACTAATCATTTAAGTCATTTCTCAAGCAAAAATAAAAGCAATCTGTGGATCCAGTTTCTTAAATGTGGAGATTTGCTGCTTCTCTCTGTTTTCTATCATTTATAAACCAGAACTCCTCAGATTTTGGATGGTTGGTCAAACTAAAGTTAAATGAAGGCGTCTTTTTGTGCTTCAGGAGCTTAAATAAACAGTCGTTAGCTGCAGCCACGTTTCCATCCAGAAACCGTCTCTGCTTTAAAACACACCATCTATGTGTTGTGTGTAATGACAGTAAAACCCAGGGTTCCGAGCTTCACACCTCATTTCCTCGGGTGTGTTTGGATTACAGCCGTTATGAGCTGATGCTGAAGTGGATGACACTGTTTGCTTTTCATGCTGACCCCTGCTAATCACTGGCAAACAGGTTGAAATGTTAAAACAAATGTACAGCGGGGACACGTGGGGACAGCTCATACAAAGAAACAGAGCTACAGTAGTAGTTAAGCCTTGAATTTAAATCATGTCTTGTGGTTCCTGCACACACACGCTCTGTCTCCTTGAGCCCTGCTAACATTTATTTTGCGAGTTAAGTGTGGAAGTCGCTTTTCCTATCAGATCTTAGACGACAAGTGAAACTTCCTCCGACAGAGGAAAGCAGTGATCAGGCCGCAGCGATTACACGTGATGAAAACAGAGCTGTATTTAATGCATGGCCATCCCACGCATGCAGAAACACACTCACACAGGCCAAGAGACACCAGAAATCAAAGGTCCAGAGGCCACCGGGGGCCTGTAGTTCTTCGTCTCTGCTGTGTACCCAGGCCTTCTTGGGATCAGCTTTGATGCGTCTGTTAATTAACTCCTGAAGGGATGTGGTAACGTGGCAATCAGGCCTGACAGCCGCCGGGGCAAGGAAGGGGGGTCGACCCATGTGTGCGAGGGTGAAGGCCGGATGTGAAGGATGCCTCACGGTGCGAGGAGAGATGCCTGTGATGACATTTTGACACACTGTGGAAATGAATGAACCCACTTCTGTGGAGGGACAGACCGGATCTCCCACCCTCCACCAGGCTCACTGTGGTGATCGCTTTGCCATGTCCACCATCACCTCGCACAGCACAGAAGCTGACCAGTTTCTCTGCTCTTTCTCCATATGATGAGCAGTCAAATTGAAAACAAGCCCTGAAATGCTGGCAAACCACAGAAGCATCAATAGGACACAGCAACAAACAGACAGGAGCTGAACGTTTTTACCATGTGGTGCCTCTGCAGGGACATGTGGTATTTTTTAGCAGTCTTCCCTCCGGTTCATGTCTTTCCATGAGCTCAATCAGACCTAGAGGTCAGGAGGAATCTGTCTGGTCCCCAGAGGCCTCTCTCTTCTCCTTTCCTCTCTCCAGGAAGTGAGGGTACCACTCAGAGGCCAGGGACCAACTTCATCCTGGGGGCCCCTGCCGGTCTGTGACATGCGGTGACGGGGCCTTAGTGGAGAGCGGCCCTGCTGCTGTTTGACAGCTGTAACCCTGAGCACACAAACGTTCAGTCTGAGTGGTCATCATGTGTCTCCAACCCCACCATGCTCGGCTCTCCAACGACCAAAAAACAACACATACGAGCACACTGACACACTGTCGTCAAAAGTTTACCTCTGTAAAGCTACACAAGTATTAGCACCAATATGCACTGACCTAGTATCACAACTAAAAGCACTCATTATGGCTTAGTATTACTGATTTAAGAAGCATCTGATGTTGCAGCTGGTTGAGCTTATTGAAACTACTCTGTAAGCATTTAATCTGTAAACACAGATTTTAACATTTAAAACTTTATCTACTCACAGTAGCTATACAGTACAATAGCAGTAGTGTAAAGTACAGATACCTCAAGTACAGTACCTGAGTAAAATATAGGAGTTCAAAAGTCTAAAGTCTTTATTGATGTTATTTTTCTGTGTGTCATATTCAGTCTGGCTTTGTATGTTTGTTTTATTTTTGCAGATTTTTGCTTTTATTAACATGGTCCTAGTTTTTGTTCAGGTTCTTCTCACACTTCAGATTTTTATGATCGTTCTGTTCTTATGAAATGTAAATAATCCATCTTCACTGATCAGTGTTTCATTCCACCTTATTTTCCCTGACTGAAATGATTTGTAAGGTGATGCTAAAAATAGCTAAAAACAGATGATTACTGTCGTCAAGGAAAAGGCAACACACTGTTCACAACATTACAACCTGTACACAGTGTGTATGTGTATGCATGGGTTGCCAGCTGTGACTCACAGCAGCACGGAGTTTCCCTGGACGCTTGAGTAGAGCTGACGCCATGATGCTGATCAGTTATGACCTCCAAACATTAACACGTTCATGAAGTCTGAAAATTCAAGTCAGACTAAGACTGTTTGGCACCATGTGGGTGTAAAGGAGCAAAACATCAGGTGTAAAAAGACTTACTGGGTGTTGTACATGAGAGGGTCTGTGCAGGCATCAGAGAGGAAGTCAGTTGTCCAAACTGTGGCTGTAAAACAGTGAGTGGCCGTGCTGTCATCGCACCATTTGGTGGTCAAGGGCTGGGGATCAAAGCTGCCGGTTGACCTCGGCGCTCAGACTTCACGCCATCAGAACACGGAGCTGGACACACACACACACAAAAGGGTTTTATGGGATTTTTTTTGACATGCGGGACTCAAAACTGCAACCATGTAGGTTTATCATGTAGATCCACACTGACACTTCTCTCCACTGATATTATACAAAATATCATAAATAACCGGATCTGCTCTACTCGGAGACAGATTTAAATTGCCTACTGGCTTGAAAGTGTGGGTTTACTGTCTAAATCTGCATCTTGACAGCTGCATCATATGAGGAAAATTTAACAAATATATAACAAAAACCACATTAGGAAAAAAAGCACAGTTGGATTTCAGATGTCAGGTTTTTATAGGGCCAGCTCATCTAAACACTAAAAAAGTGAACAACCTGCAGCACAAACCAGAAACAGCTCAGTCAGAAATTTGCTTCTGTGAAACTCCAGTTATTTTAAGGACTGATTTAACTATGGGTTTTGATTTATATCAGAAAATATCATGACAACTTCCAAGAACCAAAGGTGACATCCTCACATTCTGTGTGGCAGACGGACCACAACCCAAACAAGTTCAGTTAGATTCAAATCAAGCAGAAAAAAGCTACAAATCCACTGGTTTGACAAACTGAGACCAGAGGATCTTTGGCATTTGGACTGATTATCAAAATTGTTTGGCAATTGATCAGGTTAGTGGGCTGATGGTTGCAGCACTGATGTCATTGTAGCCAAAATACTGGGACATAAAGTCAAGGCTTTCTGGTTGCAGCACGGCCACTCTCTCTCTTCAGGTGTGCAGGAATCACAAAAATCCCAAATCATGACCAACGCTCGAATGGCACGGTGCATGGACGGACTGTCTGCACCAATAAAAGCCTCATGGGAAGGAGTAAGCTGCCTGAAAGCAAACCGAGGTCAGGGCCTGCTGTGGCACACAGGTAGGAGGCGTTCACTCGTTCAGTCTGGTCAGAGAGCCGAGCTGAATCCTCCTGCAGCGGGGGTTTCTCCTCTGAAGTCGGCTGCCACATCTGTTTGCTGTTGGTGAGGGCAGGAGGAGATCAGCCACAGGATATTGGACATCCAGGCTGAGGAGTTAGAAGCTGCTCACACTGACAGACTGTTCCTCTAGAAAATATTTAACTGGTCAGAAAAAGTGGCCAAGTTAGGGCGAAGCTTCAATCACCTTGTGTTCTTGCACTTTCTCTTCCTTTTGTTCCTTCAGTGGCATCTGTTTAGCGTCAGCTAACGGTGAGACAAATGATAACATCAGAGAGAAAGAAGAGGCTTAATCAGGTTTGGCCTCTGTCCCTCATGCCCCGTCTTTAGTGATCAAACTGGGAACTTTGCCTCTCTTAAAGTTGAGAGGAACACGTCTAAGAAATCGGTATAAATTGAAATGTCACTGTTAACCTCTATTTGTGTATTCTTCGCTTGAACAATAAACAACCCCCTCCTCAGTTGAAGCTGTATTCTATTTTCGCTTCGCCACCGATCTGGGCTTCTTTTACGGGATAGCTATTATTCAAAGGAGAATAGGTAGAGGGCCCGACCATAAATTCCAGCAAGTGGCCCTTCGAACGGGGTGCAGCGTAGAGGAATTGACTGCATGCTCTGTGATTTTACTCTGCTACGCTGTGACCTTTTGAGTTGAGACAGAGTCATTTGTTTGGTTGACAAGAGCTACTCTAATAATTCAGGGAGACACTGGCTGCTGGTAAAATGTGGTGATGAGCCAAACTGTGCTACACCTGGAGGGCAGCAGCATTTGTTTTCCTGGTACAGGGAGGGCCTCGTGTTTGATTTCTGTGAGTCGTGGCCCACTGTAGGACTGATGCCGTGTGGCTGACTGTGAGCGGCTGTGGCTGTGTCAAATGTTTGATTCTGGGGTGACTTTGTTTTTGGGTGTATTTCAAGGGAAGTCAGCACACTGCATCAACAGCCTCATGTGGGATCTGCAAAGTGAAAACATGTTCAGATTTAAGTAAAAGTCATCATTTAGTTAAGTGAGTATAAGCAAAGCATTTATGAGAGACACAACAAACAGCCACTGATTTCAGCACAGAGAAGGGGGAAGGGCTGCTCTGAGGTTGTTGTTCCCTTAAATAACCTTATTGTAAGGATCCCTTTGTTGGCCATTATACTCAAATGAATCATTGTGTGGCTTCTGAAAGCAGCCTCCACTCAGCAGTGGGAGGTGATGCTTCATTACACCACTAACTGAGCTGTTGACTTGCTAACCTGGTTGTGAGCTGCTCCTGACTGAGGTGGTCCTGGTGTTCATTCCAGAGTAACTTAGGTGCAGCCTTTGTTACTAAAGTTAATCCAGGCTAATGTTAGCTTCTTTCAAGCCAACTTTACTTCTACCAGCACTAAACTGCTCTGCAGCCCTAACAACCTAAATGTGTGAACAGCAAATGTTAAGTCTGACTAATAATGATTTGCGAGGACAGATCAGAGGCCTGCAAGCGTGACAGACTGGAGGCTGGTGTGTGTGTGTGTGTGTGTGTGGTGAGGGGCTTCCCATGACAGTCCACTCCTGGCCTTTCACACCTGTTACATTGATTCATCAGCAGCAATAAAGACCCAGGCTGGACTGCCAGTCAAAAGCTCAGCTTTGTTATAGAGGCAGTAAACCGGGCTTGTTCATTAACAAACTCAGCGAACCGCTGCGTGACCTACGGCCATCGGGTGGTTACAAAATGTTGTTACTGGGGCCGCCTCAGAACCACAAACTGCCAGTGAGTTGGTTAGCAGCCATTTCCAGTCAGAGTACCCAAACAGAAATATATCACGTTAAATCTCTAAGCTCATGTCACTAAAAGGCAATGAAGACATTATACTGCCCTATTTATTAGGTCCCTGTCAGATGTGCACTTTGTTACACAGTTAATGAGAAGCCAGTTTTACAGATAGGTCTCACATCTGAAGAAGTGCCTGAGTCACTTTTATGCAGTAGAGCAGATCTTTTACTTAAGTAGTAAAAATTCTGCATTAAAAATGTACCAATGTACATGAATTATCAGCTCAGTGTAATTATGATACTGTATCTAATGTTAAATACTCTGTGCTGGGAGTCTTTTATTGCTGTAAACTGAGAACGTACAAACTTTGTCTGGCCAACAGTCCAAAACCCAGTGATATTACAGTAAAATAAAATCGGATTACAGATGGAGGTGATAACATGACATGATTGAAATTGCAGATGAAGCCCCAAGCGGACCAGTGAGTTGCAAAGATCAGTCACAACGTTTCATATTTAACAAGCCCAAACCAGCCACTGTTTCATGACAACAACTACTCAGTTCTAAAAAGTGTTTCCAATTCATTTTCTCTTCAATGAATAAATGCTTAATCAGTAATTTATTTGTTACTATTTGAGCAACAAATTCCGTTGACTGAAGTGCAGGTTTGTGTGCCCAGTGACCAACAGCAGATTTACCCCAGATGGTTTTGGACCCAATCCAATGTAAATGTTCTTTCTTATTAAAGAAACTATACATGGGGGAAACCAGGCTCCCAGATCTTTAGATGTTAATCTTAAAGTTAAATCTAAGTAACATGGAGCCTGAATGAAGAGTCTCTCTTGGCTCTGAAGCTAAAGTGGTATTGTTCTGACTGTTCACACCACAGAGCTTGTCTGAATGGTGCTGGCAGAAAGGTCAATAGTAAAATAAACTTTGATGACATGTGAGCTGAGACCCCCTCCTCACCCTTTAACCCCCTAAACCCCCACGCCGACCCTTGTTGCCAGAAAGCAAATGGAGCTGTGAATCGCTGGGGTTCACAGCGAGTCAGAAAGCCTGGCATGGTGAGCCACCTTTCCTGACAAAATTCTCTAACATGATTGCCTGGTGCTCCAGGGAAATCTCATAGACTCGAGTGGCTGAGCACTGTGTGCACCAAATCGGGCACGTGGAGGTGGCTGAGGGATTTACATTGAGATTTTGGGCATCATACTGTTCTTCTCCATTTATTATGAATGAACAGACAGACACTAACAGAACGGACAACTGATTCTCACCTTTCTGATTACTGAGACTTTTATGTAATATTCAGCGGACACAGCGGGACCTATTGTTTGTGGAGACCGCAGCTACATCTAGCAGTCTTCCTCGTGTATAGCACAACCTCTGCTTCTCCCCATATATGACGGAGGGATGGCCGCAGTTCTATAATTACAATATGTCACACTGAGGAAGACCACTAGATGCTGTTAAAAGCTCAGAATAAAAGCTAGCAGGTGTTTTATAAGACTGAACTGTCACGCCAAACTTTTCTCCTTAACAACAGCCTAAAAACAATGTACCTGCTGAGCAGGTCGGCCTGAAAGCAGCAAAAAAATGATGTCAAAGAATTAGTTTTACCCTGATAAATATTTAAATGTGAAGTGAAAAAAACAAATTCATTCCCAAATGTTATAAATACTACCAATGCAGAAGTAAGACATGCTCGGTCTTTTCTACCTCAAGAAGATGTGAAAAGGCATTTTCATTGTTTTCTCTCAGCTTTGTTGGTATCTATCTCAGTCAGCTCTCTCTCAGCGATCCTGACCAGCCTTTTCTTTAAAACTCTTGAACAGGAACATCTAAGTGCTCTCGCTGCTTCCACAGTGTATCGTGAGTGAGTCCCTGAGCATACTCATCTCATCCTGAATTAGCATTTCCATTCCTTCTGAGTGTACTTGACTCGCTTGACATTAACAGCTCTTTTTGTGTTCTTTTGCTCTCAGAGACGTCGGCCATGGAGACATCAGTGCCGAGAGCCACAGAGAAAAAAGACAAGATGGATGGGAGCGGCTTTGGTGACCTCCCGAAGAAACCCTCACCCTCAGAGACGAGAGGTAACATGCTTTTTAAAACTTTCTCCCAACTGGATCCGAGTTTCATGTCCGGCTGAGTTGAGGTCTCACAGGCTCTCAGCAAGGGGGCAAAGGGGGAGCGAACACGACGCATGAAATATACATTTTTAAGATAAAGTGCCATCTCGAGAGCCAGTGCTCATGGCTCTCCTCGGGCCTGATAAGGTACCAGCAGCAGTCAGAGGTGACTTACAGTAGACATCTGATAGGAATCCTAAAGGCCTTGAAAGAGCATCATTAATGCAAATCGCTCCAGTGTCAAGGCCTGGTGTCTACAGTCGAGGAGTGTGGCACCATTTCAGGCTGTAAACGCTGATGAATAGATAACGTGACAAGAGAAGAGGGAGGTCGGTGCAGGTGAGAACGAGTGTTTGTGTTGTTGAACTAAATGAAGAGTAGCACAAATCCTCTCTCGCTGGGGAGAGACAGGCAGGAAGAGAGAGGACATGTTTTAAAGATGTCAGTGAACGTGTGATGAAAGCTCGGCATAATGAGCCTCAAAGACCTTGTTCTTACCTCCAGAGTATAAGGGCAAAAAAAAAAAGGCTAGGGCTGGTGAAGCCAAGGATGACACGGGAGACTGACAAAGATGCAGACTGATGGGGTGCCTTTGAGATGGAAATTAAACATGTGATTTAGTGGCATTTTTATGGATTAATTAAGGACTTGGTGGCCTGCCATGATAAAGAAACACTAATTAATTGATAAAGAAGGAACAAAGCTCAAAAGCACAGCAGATATCTGGCCAGAAAACAAGTCCATTTACTGCAACTCGGCCCTTATTTTGTCTATCACACAGTTTAGTTCTGATAACAACAAGCTTACAAAAGTAATATCACTACACAGTAACACAGAAAACTCCTCAGGGATTCACACATCCAGCATCAACACAGAGGTAATGTGTGGGGTAAGGCTGTGCAGCAACTCCACCTTTCATGCAAGAGGCTGTCACAACTCAACAGTTGTTCACATTTTAATCATAACCATGATCTTTCCAAAACCTTTGAGGATACAGTAAAACAGGTTTTGCACATACGAGCACTGTGGAGCTCGTCCCCCATCACTTAGTGTATGCTGAAAGCACATTTGTAAGGCATCTCTCAATTAAATATTTACACAGTTCATATGGAAACCTGACTACTCCTTTAAGACAAAGTTGAAAAGTGTTTGTTTTGTGTCATTTGAAGGTGCAATGTGAGAGATTTAGTGGTGAGGTTGCAGATTGCAACATTCAGCAAACCTCTGATACATATATTCAACAACCCTCACAGTGATTACTGCAAATGTAGGACACACTGCGCACTCGGAGAACAAGTGCGACTGACTTAACCAAGCTAAAGCAAACGGCGGCTCACGAGACCACACTGGGAAACCAGCACTGGCCGTGTTCCAACTAAAGCTATCAGATAAAAATGTACATTTTTAACTTTACTTGTTAGGCTAAATTACCTGTCCAGTAGAAAACAGGCAACTCCGGCATCATTCTGGAAACATTTGTCATTTCATTTTCATGTGGTTAAGGCCACACCAGTGTTGGTCCTCATCGTGTGCTGTTACCTATCCCGTGTATTTATGTCTTCCCTTCTTTGACAACAGCGATTCACGCCATCTTCCTTTTTCTGGTATGATCCTCCATTTCTTAAAGGTGTTAAACTCACGACAGGGCTTCCACTTGTTTCTAACATTATTTCTTCCAGGCATAACCAAATGCTTACATCCAAGCTGCTACTTCAATGTGAAAATGTGAAAGTCACTAAAGCCACGGTGTTGTTTGTCTGTTCTGGGCTACTGTAAAGAAAACACAACGATTCTTATTTTCTGGCGATTAAACATTAATGAAAACATCATTACGCATATTCTAGCCTGTTTTAGTTAATAAATCCTTCTAGATCTTACACACTGTGCCTTTAAAGGCCAAACTAACAGTGAGCACAGCAGAATTGTTGGATATAAAAACTGTGTGCACACAACTTGGGGAATTATGGTAGGTCAAAATAAAAAACACTCAAAAACCACAAAGCGTTTCTGCTCTTTGATTTGCAACAATGCCCACCATGGCCTAATCCATCCAAAGATAGACTATTAAAAGGACAGGAGCCATTTTATAGATGGATATGAGAGTTGACACATTATAGTCTATACTGTATCTTGATATTGCCCTGCTCTAACCCCTCTGGTGTATAAAAGGCTATCGTGGATTGAAATAATGGGTCGAATCTGTGCAACACACTCTGTAGCTTGTCCTTAACATTTAAACACAAGATATTTCTGCTGCTTCTCAGCTTGAGCAGATGCAACACATCCACGAGGAAGAGTTCCCCCCATGCATTTAACAATCACATACAGATCAGAGTGAGCAACACCTACAAATCACAAGGAAGCCGTCGTATTGTAGCACTGACCCAGATTTAATCTACATGAGCAACCTGCTGAGGTATTTTTATGTCAAACGTCTGATGAAGTAGAGGTGAGGCCGACGGAGCGACAGAGACAATGCATGTTTTAAAGATGTCAGTGAATGTGTGATGAAAGCTCGGTATAATGAGGGTAAAAGACCTTGTTCTTACCTCCAGAGTATAAAGGGGATGAATTAGTGAAAAGCAGGCCTGTGGACCGACACAGCGTTTGAGAGACTGATGCAGAGTGACGGGCCACTTTTGAAATGGAAATACAGTCGGTGATTTAGTACCATTTCTAGTCTGTAATGAAGAACTTGGTGGCCCGCCATGATGAAGGAATTAATTGTTGATAAGAGAAAATAAATGTAGGGAGCTTCGCTGTTTCTTTAATAATTGAACTAAGCTGCAAGCCAACTCTTTCC